TATTACATCGACTCAACCTGATATGTTGGTTGGAGCGACTGTTGTACCAAGTCTCACCATATCTGATAGGTCTGTTGAACAATGATAAGACTAAAACCAGCCACTGTCACAGTGTGAATAGCATAGAAAACATTAAGTATCCTGCAGCGAGGTCTTACTGTGGTAGGATTAAGATTTTCCCTATAGATCACCAGGAGGTATGCTGACATCAACTCACCTTTGTTCGAGAGAAGAATTAGGAAAGGTAGATTCTAAAAAGTTAACGCCTCTCCCTGACACACTGACTTCCAGTAATGCCGGTATAGATTTTCCTTATTTGACAGTAGCATAATGAAATCTTATTTACCGACTTTCAAAAAAACCTAGTGACAAGCTTCTAGTAGATGTCTCATAGATTCTGACGTCATGCATTACTACTACTGATACGATTTCTTTTTCACATACGATAAAAATAGCGCAACCTTCTATTGTACAGACAGACAAGAAGTGTCAGGCGACCTAACAATTCTATCAGTACTCAATTCCCTTCTGATTATCACAAACTTCCACATCGTTGCTATATCTTTCTTAAAATCTCTGTGTTAGTATTTTTATATCACCTTAAACTTCGTCCAGCAATGAAGCTCATGAAAATGATTCCAGTTACCGAAATAACATACCTAGACTTCTTAAACAGTGCCCCATAATACATATTAGAGCTATCGATGTCTGTACACTTCGTGAATCCAGTTTAGCAAGTCAAAACTCTGGTTTGTCAGGCCATGAGTGGATATCATGTTGGCAAGATATGCATACAGGAGTAAGTTGTCATTATTACTATTATTATTTGTCCCTTGGGTTCCTAATGAAACATAAGGATTCAGTAGCACGTACCCATTCCACTGTGTTATCTACGAACTTTTGAACCTCGCTCCACAACAGCCCACAAGCTCTCATTTCTTCCTCGCACGATCTCCTCCATGCCACCCTCGCCTCAGATGCCCAACTCGTCGCTCCCCATCGGGGTTACGCTCGAGGGCCTGGTCTGGCGCGTGATGTCCCCAGTCGGCCTTCTCAGTGTATGCCCAGTCCATCTCCACTTCCTTCGGCATATTTGTTCAGCGATAGGTTCTTGGTTGGTTATTTACCAGCCAGAGTTCCTCCTTGCTTATTCTTTCTGGTCATCTAATCTTCAGTAATGAGCCAGAGTAGGCAGTTGCTGATGAATGTCTGTAGTTTGTTGGAAATCCCTTTTGTAAGGCGCAAAGTCTCTCAACCATACAGAAGCATTGACTTGGCATTGGTGTTGAAAATCCGGATGTCGTTCACGCTTTATGCTTAGTGCAGTAGATCTCCACACTAGTTTCAGGCTAATGAACGCCTATCTTGCTTTTCCGATCCTGGCTGATTTTGACGTCCTCGTCTGTGCCGCCGCCGCCTGTATTTGAAACATGCTACCTAGATAGGTGAGAGAGGCTACTTTCTTTAAGTTTTTCCCATCGCTGGTGATTAATGTTTGTTGTTGTTGTTGTTGTTGTTGGTTGGGTATCTTCATCACTTCTGTCTTCTCTATATTCACTTGAAGTCCCGTCTTCGCTGCCCTGCTCTGCCTCTGCTGTCAACTTGTTAGTTTTCGCCTGTAGATCTTCAAATCTATGTGACATCAGGCACAAGTCATCGGCAAAATCCAGATCTTCTAGGTTCTTTTCCGCAGTCCAGCTAGCCTATCCCCCTCTTATCGCTCCCCACTGTTTGCTGCATGATCCAGTCGAGTCGACCACTATCAGGAATATCATGGGGGATAGTAGGCAACCTTGTTTCACTCCTGTCTTCACTTCACTCCAAAAGCATCACTGAGCTTCCCATTGTGAATTACTTGGCTGGCATGTGGAGTTTTCATATAGTTGTTGAATGAGATTGATAAAGGTTTGTGGTATTCCGTAGTGTTGAAGCAACTGCCAAATTATTTCTCGGTCGACGCTGTCAAAGGCCTTCTCAAAGTCGATGAAGTTGAGGTGAGGTGGAGAGTAGTTGACTGCCATTCTATACTCTGTTCTATGATGATGTGTAGCGAAGTGTTGCAATTTGGTCGGCACATGATTTGTACTTCCTGAAGCCAGCCTGTTCCGGTCGTAGTTGTGAATCACTCAAAATCACCTGACTAATACAGTGACACGCGAAGTAGTCTCTTTGTTATTCATACTGACTCCAGTTAGGACGACATGAAAGACGACTTTTATCAAACTGTCTCGAGTCTGCTGCAAAAATATCAACATGTGGTTTTGATAGTAAACAACTTCGATAAACAAGTATGAAGGCGAAACGAGGCATAAAAGCACCAAGATGGTACTTTCAGAATTTTGAACGCACGAACGGACAACGATGACAGCCTGAGGAGACTGTGTTCAGACAAGCAATTACTTCTGCTTAGCATAAACTTCATACACAAAGAGTGACATTGTCTGGTTCGATAGTTTAGTGGAGAAATTGGACTGTTATACTTGCAATGGTTCTACCGCTCGACTGATGATGAGAAAATAACCTAATTTAACTATTTAGAGGAAGCGAAAACCGTAACAAAGTTTCTGTAGGTTAATTGACAGAAGGATCATTACCAGATATTCCTATACAACATACAATTATGACTTTGAGACGATTGGTGTGTTTACCTGTAGTTTATGTAAATCAACTTTCATTCTGATGCATAGATATGGTATGCTGTGTTATGTCAAACTAAGGGAAATTAAGAGTAGAACAACCACTTATGATACCCTCAACCTTTGGTTGTACTGGTCTCCAAGAAAGGAGAATCCTTTCGAGCAACTTCTAGGTTATACCTAAATGGGACACTGACCCCCGAAAGTCAAGTAAATTTCAGAACTAGCAGCTATGAGTTTATCGATTAGATCATTGCCTTTCACTAGATGTGCGTACGACTACAAGAACTCGAAATCAGCTGTTTTTCCTGAAGTAAAGACATCATTTGAATTCTTCAATCATTAGGAATTTCATCATCCTACTGAAAGATTCATACACGAAACCTCGTTATCATGTCATATTGTACAAAGAGTTTATAGACGAACTGTTTATGTTGAATAGTGTCCATCAAGGATATCCACTCGTTCTATCCTTATCTAACTTAGAAACAGACGTGTTTATAAAGATTTTCCTCTCCTTATCGTATGACTTTACAGTAAATTGATCTCATCGCACGAGAATCTTTAATGAGATCCAGAGTACGCAGATGACATAGCCCTGTTAGATAAAGACGTTGAAAAGAAACAAAGTCTTCTGAACACTTTGAGTGATAAATTAAAAATGACTGAGGAGCATTTTTTCCCCTCTCAAACACAACGTTTGCTCCAAGATTGATCTACATTACTGCCTCGTTTAACAATAGAGAGTGAGTGGTTGAGTGGGATGACCACTTAATTTGGTAAGTCAGTCAGTGACTGAAGAAGTCTTGGTACGGATGTGAAAGTATCAATCTAGACTTACACCGGTTATCCCAACTGTAAGATTTACACTCTTATCTAATAAGGATAAAGTATAGTGCGCTGCATTTCGTTTTATACTCCTTTATAGCTGTCAAACATGACTAATAAAGTTAGAGGAAATGAGAAAACCTCAGGTGCTCGATCACTACTCACTTCGCAGTATAGGCTGTGCATCGTAGAACCAACACATAAATAAGGCTGACGCCAAGCGTAGAGCTTCAGCTAATGATGTTGTGAACTTTTATAAACTCAGGTGGCTGAGACATGTAGTACACATGTCAACTCCCTAACTACTCAGTCGCACGAAGTTAGCTGATTCAGAGTAGGTTTGTAAAAAAGTCAAAAGTGTCACCAGTTTATGAAATTTTTGACTATTGTTCTGAGCCAAGTACGTTTTCACGTCTAAAGTTGATCAGAACACAGAAACCGATGGTTGAATAATCTAAGAGATAAGGTTAATAAATGATAGCGGTTATGCTGAAGTATTCATATATTATTTTCATTAAAACAGTTATATCATATTTCGGATTTTAATTATATTGTTTCTCTTTCTCTGTATTGCTGTGCACCTTGACGAGTTAATGTAAGTCTTGACAATTTGAACTTTTGAGTATTACTATCAGATCATAACTTTGGTATTCACTGATTGCTTAAAGAACTATCACTGTAATTAAAACTGATCATTTTCCAGTTACTCTGAGAACAACATGAAAAATCGCATTAGTATGAAAAGGGTTAAGAAGCGCACAGCATATATGACTGATCCACTGAACAAATAATGGTCACAAACATTAATTTTGAGTAGTAAATATGCTAACTAGCTGATACAAAATTCCATGTACTTTTCCTGATGATATTATCAAAAAGGTAATATTTGAGTGATAAAGGTCATCCAGTCAGTCTAGGAACTCGACTCTCAATCAATGCGTCACGAGTTCGAACCCAGTCTCACATACAAAGGTTTGGTCAGTCAGGTATTTGCATTATTCTTCACACAATAGATATGGCTCATTTCATAACCTCACAAACCGGACGCCAACGCAGTAAGCCTTTAGGAGTCTATCTGGACTTTTAACTTTTCTAACCGTACAAGTCACAATCCTGCTCATTGTCCATTCAGAAGGAAATAAACAATGAACACTGGATTGCTATCTTGTGATAAGTTATTTGTAATGTCTAGTTACCATAAGGAATGTAAAATAACGACACTGAATGGGTTTCATACTTGACTTGGAACTGAACAAAATCGGAAAAAGGTATGTGATAGCGAGCACGTAATGACAGCCTAATAACATATTACCAAGACGATTGATAGTACCATATGAAAAACAACTCATGAAGACTTTCGAACTGAGAGTGTATAGGTTTGTCCACTAGTCATTCATTCTCAGTTGTTACATAGCCAACAACTCATCTCCTTACAACACATTTAAAGGATGAACAACAACAAAAGTATGAATTAGTTGTGGGGACAAAGAAGGAGACATACACACACATGCACGTAGAGAGGAAAAGATAACTAACCAGATTGTTCAGAGCGTAAATCAATCAGCTGTTTATGCAGTATTTGCTCTTCAACACGTTGGCTATCGATTAACTCAGATACAACCATAAATACTTTCCCGTCGGCTAGAATATGTGCTAATTGTGTAATCATCTCCTCAGAAATATTTGTCTGAATTTCACTATAGAAGAGAAAGAAGAATTAGATAAAGTCGCCTATGAGACTGGTTAATAAGATAATAATCATAACGATAAGGTCTATTTAAAAATACTTAACTGTTAAAAATATGAAACCTTTACAACTAGATTGTCAACAAACACCACTGACTGATAAACAGACTTATATGAAAAAGAAAATCCATTTTCAATTTTAACAAGGTTCGAATCAGCAGCTTCTGTCCCACTACAAGCAGGTGAAACACTACTGACCGAAGTAGATATTGTAGCTTGATAGATACAGTGGTATAGTAAGTAGTTAGTGGTGTAACCCACCTTCACCGCCTCCCATAACAAACACACACACCAGTCAGTCCAGTTTCTTTTCCACCTAAAATCATCATCCATTTACAAAACGTGAAGCGGAAAGAAAAATAAGAAGTCAAACACTTTATATCTTCATCAACTGCATCAAGATTGAATGTCTCTTTCAACAACTGAGAATATATGACTATCGTTTTATGCGATATGATATCGAGAAAAGTGACTCTATAAATCAATAACCGCATATTTGAGGACTCTTCCCTCTAACTGGCGTTTATTAGTCATCCTTCGAACTGAGTGTAACACATACAACTTTTTCAGTATAATAAGTGACTTATTTGTGAAGAAAAATGTATGCAAAGCCAACCCTAATTCAGACATAACAAAGACAGTATGCAATATGCTATTAAATAAGCAACTAAACTGTTTATCATAGGGTATAGAACAATAGATTGACATCAAATAGTCAGGGTTAATTGACTATTTACTGAAATGCATATAAGGTAGCATTCATCACAGACTGACATCAGTTGACAAACAACTGAAAACCTAAAGGCAATGGACAGATTTTTCATCCTAGTCTGAGACTTCTCAGCTGTAGGCATCCACGAACCCACCCATCGGGGGTCAAACTCAGGACCTTCGGTTCACATGACGATGAAGAGTGGCTATCGTCCACAATCTCCAGTTGGCATCCGCTTCATTCCCAACTGGTTGACCCTAAAAGTCACATCTTGTCTTTAGAAATTTGGGATATCCATCTCAAAGCATATCACTAATGAGGATTATACAGTAATGTATTTTGAGACTAACTAGGACTTATCTTCAAAGCAGTAATCATTACCGACTGACACCACTCAAAGAACCACTGGAAACCTGTAAGCACTGTACAGATGTTTCATCCTAGTACGAGACTCCTCATCAGTAACCTTCAGATCCTGAGTTCAACCCTTGGTGAAGAGTCCCACAGTGAAACGAAACAGCTGTCCAGTGCTCCCAAGTCTTCAATGTTTCTCTAACTGATTTCACTTCGTGACGAATACTACTACTTAAAACCCAACTGTGAGGAACGACTGATTGTGTTTTATTCATGTATAAAGTATTCACTGAGATCATTTATAAGGAGGACGGTTATATATATATATATATATATATATATATATATATATATATATATATAATGTTGTCTAGTCCTGCTTTCTCGCGACCAGTCAATGCATGTAACACAGTCCTGAAGGAGGTCAATCGCCACCCAAATAGCACAGTGGTAAGACCACTAACTATAACACTGAGTAAGGCGGGTTCGAATTTCAGGCGGGATATCAGTTCCGTAGAGATTACAAATATGCCTTGTTAACGAGCGCTAACAAGCACGAAACCTAGGTTTAAGGCTTCCTACTGATTACCTCCAAACAACTAATACTAACCAATATGCACTGTGATGCTGAACTTTTTAGCTCCATGGCCATATTGCAAAAGTGATCGACAGACTTCGTTCAGCACTCAGAACTAAACAACATGAAATTGGTTGCTCTACCACAATCAACATGAATGATCTGAGTGAATAATTAGTATATCAATAAAGCATAGTCAGTTGTTACGTAATTTGATCGTTTTATACTCACAGTTAGGCTTTGAAAGTATAATTTTCAATCGATCATCATAAGTTAATAGTACCAAATTATTAAGCTAATAAGCCAACGAATTTAATTTGTACTTAACTCAACTTCACAATAAAAATGTTTCCATTCATTGACAAGTTTTAGATACAACACTAATCTAGTCAAAACTAGAGTTCTATTCTCGAAATAAACAAATCTACACGCATTTTATCATTGTAATTGAAATGTATAACAATTTACTAATGGATTACAACAACGCATTCAGTGATTATCACAGTTAGTGGATCAATCAATAAGTTAGATAATCATAATGGTGGCAATAAAAAGATCTCAATAATAAGTAGGACCTAAGTAACTGAATAATTAAACTGTATTAATTTTTTTAATATCACTATTACTATAAATTAATAGATGTTTGAAAAGTTCCATCTCATTTTTATTGTAAAATAACATATATAACTATATCATGAAATGACTTAAAGTTGAGTTGTTTGAGAGATTGTATCCTACCTAGTGACTAAAGGATAGTATATTCATCATAGGACCTAATAATCTTGAGTATGTGTTAATGAACCTATCTAGGCAGTATTGTTTCAACTACAGGCAGCACAGACGAAGGCGTCAAAGTAGCCAGGATCGGAAAAGCAAGACAGGCGTTCATTAACCTGAAACTAGTGTGGAGATCTTCTGCACTCAGCACGAAGCATGAAAAAGAACCAGATTTTCAACACCAATCCAGTCAAGTCAGTGCTTCTATATGGTTCAGAAACTTGACGCATTACGAAAGGCATTTCCAACAAACTACAGACATTCATCAACAGCTCCCTACGCTGGCTCATTACTGAAACTCAGATGGCCAGAATAATAAGAATAAGCAACAAGGAACTCTGGCAACGAACCAACCAAGAACCTATCGCCAAACAAATATGCAGAAGAAAGTGGAAGTGGAGATGGATTGGGCATACACTGAGAAGGCCGATTCGGGACATCACGCCCCGGCCAGGCCTTCGAGTGGAATCCAAAGAGGAAACGACGAGTTGGGTGTCCGAGGTGAGGGTGACATGGAGGACAGTGATGGAGCCAGGTTCGAAAGATTTCAGAGAACACAGTGCACTGGAGACGTGCTACTGAAGCCCTATGCTCCACTAGGAACGCAAGGGATAAATAATAATAGTAATGATAAAACAGCTTCTTATTACCATCTGGTAGTCATCAATAACTCTCTTCTAAGTTGATGTTGATTTGCTATGCAAAGTAATTTGCAATCATTTAGTTGATTGTGGTTACGAGTAGAATCTAGGAAGCGCGTTTCATCCTGTGTGAAACTCATCAGCTAAATATGTGAGACGAAACGCGTGTTCCGGATTTCATCGCTGGCCACAAATAAGTCAGCTAAAACAATAAATATTCAGGTAATATCGAGATGTTCGCATAGGAACCCATATGCCAACAGTGATAGATCAATCTTGTGGGTTAATTTCTTGTGTATTTTGCTAGAAGATGACAGCAGATGATAACTAAGCTGCACCACAAATCGACAAAAGCGGGAAAACATGGACCAACAGATTTCAATTAAGTGACTGATTGATAACATACTCAAACTCGAAACATGACGGTGATTGGATCAATTCTATGTAAGGTAACGGATGTACACTCCCAAGAATTATCAAACTAGGTTGAAAAAGTTAGTTTTCCGCTGCGTATATTGAGTCAACTAACACGAATGAGACTATTATTGAACGAGAATGGCATAACACTGCTGGATACTTTTTTCAAGTGTTTTGCATAACTACTGAACAGCATATTCACATTAGATTTGTTTATTTGATTTATAACACACAATGATATAGTATTATATTTACTTTATGAAGAAGTTTCCAGCATAAATTATCAGTGCTCATAATCATATCAATGTAATCACACACCACTTTCGACATCTCCTTTTTATAGTTATGCCACCCTTATATGATTTGTTTCTATTGGTAGTAAAATTTTCCATATCTATGGTATAGGTGTTATATCATTCCCATCACATGTGGTTGGGTGTTGGTTGATTCGATGAACAAAGATTCAGTAAGCAATCTCTCGCTTTCTCCACTGACTAGTCAGTGAAAGGACCTAAACAAGAAATTGAAACACGTAAAAGAAGTGCTAATGGTTAATAATTATCCTGTACAGTTTATTAAGAAATTTGTACGGACATACAAGAAAAGAAATAATAACAGTAACACAAGTACGAATAGTAATGACAACATGAGTAGAAAGGAGTTCACATTGTGTTAGCCTATAAGGAGGGTACATCAGAAACTTTACATAGGATCCTCAGCAAAGCTGAAATTAGGGTGGCATATAAACCAACAAACTCATTCAGAGATGATAAGCTTTGTCGGCTGGCTTAAAAATTCGATAGAGTCAATTAGGCGAAATAATCTCATCTATCAGATTTCATAAACCTCGCTTGGTTAACTAGTTTATTAGTTACTAGCTGGCCTTCGAGTAGAATCCAAATGGGAAACGACGAGTTGGGCGTCGGAGGCGGCGGTGACATGGAGATCATTTGAAGAAGAAATGAAACTTTGTGGGCAGTCGTGGCGCCAGGTTCAAAAGACTACAGAGAACAGAGTGGAATGGAGGCGTGCTACTGAGGCTCTATGTTCCACTAGGAACCCAAGGGGAAAATAATAATAATAATAAATCAAACTCCATATAATGACTGTGGTTCAGATCAACTACATAGGTCAAACTAGTCAGCCGGTGGAGGTCAGTTAGAATACCCGAACATAGAAATTTAGCTAAATATAGAATGACAGACCCAAATTGCAAGGCATACATTAACATACAACCACACAGTAGGCTGGGTGGGACAGAACCACCGTACAGCTTAACTCCAATATAATTAGGTGGAGTAAAAAGGGGGAGATTGATTACTGAATCTTTGTTCATCGAATCAACCAACACCCAACCACATGTGATGGGAATGATATAACACGTATTCCGCAAATATGGAAAATGTTACTACCAATGAAAACAAACAATAAGAGGTGACATAACTACAAAAATCAAATGTCGAAAGTAGGGTGATTACACTGATATGATTATGAGTAATGATCATTTAACCTCAAAACTTCATCATCCAGTAAATAATACTCTATCAATCACTGTGTGTTATAAATCAAATAAACAAATCTAATATGGAATTCAATTCTATTACAATGCCCAAGTTTTACACCTATATTATTAGCACATCTATATGTTCATAATCTTCATTGATAGTCAAGTGTTTAGGTTGCTGAATGGTAAGTTGTCTGGTTGTTGAATAAGATGATTCGAAAAACTGAGCACTTTACATCAAAATACCATGCACCATAGTGTTGCGCTACTTCGCTTGGTGGTCACACTGCGAAACGGTCAGTGCTGAGTACCAAGGATGAGGCAGCCACCCCATTACCCACTGGCGACCAACTCATGTACACAATCAGTGAGTCACTTGTGGCCTGAACTGCTTATTGATTAAGTCTTTTGACTTCATCACTGAACGATATACATCTGAATCTTATCAACGTGACAGACAAATCATACTGATGAGTGCACTACATCCGGATCGAGTTAAAATTCCCGCCCATTGACTACCGCCATCCAACATCAAAACTAAGAATTTTTGTCGATGAGCACAAGAATGAAATTTGAAAGTCAAAGATCAAATGCGCAAACAATTCAAAGTAATCGTAAATTGAAGCGTAACAACAATCTAGTTATCCGATATACTTATAATGATTTCTTGTTGATAAATACTAGTGAATTGTTATACTTTCAGATCAAATGACGTAATTGATACGATAAGCAGTGAAAAACAACTTACAAAGGTGCTTGTTGAAGAAAAACTCGCAATTCACTTAAGTAGTGATAAACTTTCTGTTGAAAATATTTTCTATCCACAACAGTTGGAGGTTGATAGCTCGAATCTGACAAATTTGTAGGAAAATATGCAGGAGGTTGAAAACTCATTCTATTGACTTGTACGCTGGACAAGACAAAATAGGGAGAAAGAATGAAGAAGGAAAACAATCAAAGATCGATAAGTGTAGTAAGTCAGGTCTATATTAAGGATCAACATGAGATAACATCCAACATCACTATGCACAGGCTCAGTCTACTACGTTGCATATCACCCTTGGGAATAAAACTCAACTTGAAGAATAGTATAAATTGTAAAGAAGGTGGTGATAAGATCAAAGAAATGGATTAGGATAGATAACAAGTATCATAAGCAGTCAGTATGTAGCCAATTCTAAACCGTATTACATAGAGTTTTCAACCAATTTCAGCGATTCAGTGAACTCAGTCTGGAGGTTTGTGGAGATTTATTAATTGACTTCAGGTTCGAATTCATGATGAACTGAAATACATTGGAAACCTAAGAACATTGAACAGCTGTTTCGTCCAACGGTAAGACTCCTCAGCAGTGCGTACCCATGAATCCACCCCACCATCTATCGAACCCAGGACCTTCAGGTTTCGCAGTCAGTACGTTACCATCGAGGTAGCCACTGGGTCGGAATCAAATTGTTCACCTTATACTTCTGTCAGTTCACGATACAGCGTGACCTCCATCCAATGTCGTCGTTGAGTAACTGTCCCCAAGTTTGACTCGGTTGGCTACACTGGCCACAACTTCTCATTGGAGCTTCGGGAACCATCTCATGAAGCTAGTCACCAAAAAGAGCTAGATTATTTTAATTCGGAGGTTTGTGGAGATTTATTAATTGGTTTCAGGTTGGAATTCATTATGAGAAGTTGTGACCAATGGAGCCAGCCAAGTGGAATATAAAGATAGTTACTCAACGACGGCGTTGGATGGCGGTCGTGCTATATCGTGAACTAACAGAATTTCGAAATATGTACCATTGGATTCTGAAGCGGTGACTACCTCAATGATAACGTAGAGGCCGCGAAACTTTGGTTCAATCCCGAGTGGGGTCATGGGTGCACACTGCTGAGGAGTCCCATACTAGGACGAAACAGCTTTCCAATGCTCCCAGGTTTCCAATGTTCCTCCAACTTATGTCAGTCCACCATGAATTCAAACCTGAAATCAATTAGGTGAACGTTGACCAAAGATAGTTAAAGACGTCACGAATTCGTATAATGACTGGAGTTGCGATTAAAATGGATTCGAAAGTCTACTGCTCATTACTGAAGTATACGTGGAGCTGTGATTTACTGGTTTACGGAGATGAATTTCAATAAAATGAGTCACGAGTTCGAACACCACTTCAGCTACCGAGGTTTGAGCATCTAGGTAGTATCATAAGTCCTCACATATTAGATGTGGTTCAATGCCTACTGTAAGAATGTACACAAGGTTGATGAGTGCATATCGATGTCGACTGAAGTATAGAAGTGTATCTCATCAATAGAAGTCACCGTATTCAGTACAACTAATAAATAATCCAAAACCTATTGGGAGAAATGATACGCGTTACAGTTAGCCAATCAATTAGTAACGAAATTAAACTTGGCATTACAGTATAACGATTAGATTGCCACATTATATATCATTACATCAAGATGCAGGATACCGAGATGAAATATAAAGATATAGGGGGGAAAATAATCAAGAATAGAAGGAATTCATAGGAAAAGAGGATGATGATGAGTAACAAATAATCGAAAGTGATAGGATTATTAGAATTAGAATAATGTCTGAATGCATTGATTGAAGCATATTGCTTGGAGTCTCTAGCTACCAAGTCAGAATTCGGTTACACAATTCCGACAAACTGTTAGAGAATTCATTGACTGATGTCACATTTTATTCTCATTAGGCATGATATTTTTTTAACCTAGTCACCTTAACTAAAATTATATGACTAGATATGTGTGATATATGTCCCAGTCACCTGAGTCGATGAAGTACTTACAACTTTATGAACTCTTTCACCTAATGTGATGGCACCATTATACGCACACAGCCTTTCTTACAAAGGCCACAGTAGTCAAATACCTGAAACTTTCATATCATGGTGTTTCACAGCCATACAGTAGAAGATAGCGAAATTTAGTGTAGTGCACTCAGTACATAATAAGCGATCAGATATCATACTGGCGCGAAAAACAAGGACACCCTTTTACAACTACACAGAGATTTCGTCACACAGACTAATCAGGGCTGATCCGACTTCTCAAGATGAGGATTATTAAGGAGAAAAAGATATTAACAAGTTCACTTTCACTAGGATACTATTATACTATATGCAAATCAACAGTACATAAAGGTTATATGTTATGAGCTAGGATTATTTATTCGGAAAATTAGAAAATAACAAACTGACTGAACTAAAATATATTTAAATGTATCAACAAAAGTTACGTTTCTATAATAGAATGAAACAGATAGTTGTGGCGGAGAAAAACTTTTGTACCGATGAACTCCTTTTGATAAGTGTACATTCGTTAAGAAACAGTACGTACAGAGTAAGGTATTCAATACTGATGGTAATTTTCAGTTAAAAATCATAGTGCGGTAGGCATTAAAATAAAATTTAACATACTCTGAACCACAATGACACCATTCAAACTTGACCAACAAAACTATCAGTTAATCTACTAGAGACACACCAAATCCAGTCGAAGTTATCTGTAGACGTAAGAGTATGGTTCAATTTGGAGTGAGGAAAGTTTTAACTAGAAAACTACGATAATGTTATTTATTTTCAACTTTGAAAAATATCTATCAGTCTTCTATGGTAGGAGTCAATCGGTAAGAAGTTATGCTCAACCAAATATTCTTAGTTCACTGAACTCATCAACAAGATTTACCTGCGACCACGAAGGAAATGCTGTCCCCTTAGGGATTCGAATTCGCGTCGTCCAATGGTCAAGTTAGAGATTTCACCAATAAACAATTCAGGTCACAAGCGACCTCTTATACAACTGGCTAGTAATCAAATCTCTGATTCTCCACAAATCAGTCACGTAAACCTTCTGCAGATTACAGACTCGAACAATCAACGTACATAATTGATTAACTTGACACAAGAACTCAATTCAGAAATTCGATAACAATTACATGTATTGATACAGTAAAAGTAGTTACTTTAAGCTCATAGAAGGTAAAAGAATTTTTAGTCAACAGAAAATCCAATGCAATGAAAAAATTCAAACCAATATGACCCCACATCAGAGACAAAATCAACGTACAAACTCGCATACAAGGGCATCGGTTCAAGTCAACACAGTTCACGTTAGTATAGAAGGAATAGGTGAAAAGACTAAAAACAATATCAAAGTTGACAAAGTGATATGACAATAAACAATTTGAAGATGACGGTTAGTGTAAATATTCAAGCCTGAGAAAATGTTAAGGAGTGAATACAACTGAGCCACTGTGACCGACTCCCAGAAATGTCACCAAGAGTCCTCAAACACTCATTCCTTTCATTTCGAGGAACCCAAAAAGGCATTCTGTATCGCTCCACACGACCCAGTCCAATAATCAGGGACTTTATCGACTGGTGCCACTTCTTGGTCTATCCACTCTGAACTTCTTTCCAACCTAACCCAACCTCCTTCCCCTAGCATGAAATGTCGAGGTAGGTGGCGACTCGGCATGCGTGACACACGTTCAAGACACCTAAGCCGATTAAGATCTACAACCTAAGAACCCCTCACCTGACCTCACAACATGTTCACACGGTGGTTCCATCACACCCAAAGACACCTGTGATTAGAAACCTGTAACCACTTCATACCTTCTGCTCTCAACGGCCATCTGTCACAGCTGTACAACAGGACTACAGTACAATATGCTCATCCTACAATCCATAGTCGGAAATCCTACCAGTCGGCAACACAGATGATGCAATTCGGAAAATGCCGAACGGGCCATCTGTATCCAAGCTGATATTTCGTCAGCAACCAACCCGTTCGGGCTTACGTAACTCCCTAAGTAAGTGGAGTAGTCGACACATCTCATCACTTCACTCCTTATCATTAAACTGGGAATAGATGCAGACCAGTCCAAGAGCATTATCTTATACCTGACAGGTGCAAAACGCATGCTAAACATACTCAGATTTCTGCTTAACTGCAAGTAAGCGGCTTAAAGTTCAGATGGTTGAGATATTAGTGAAAACAACAGATAAATCATTTATACGCGGTGAAACGCGTCAAAAAACCCAGTGATTCGATCTTAGGATTTATATGATCTACCCAAATGGTACAGCGATGTGCAAAATAGGATATCATAAACTCTGTATGATACCGATTGCATCAGTAGTCCATAAGGTCCCTGTGTGTTGGTAAGACAAGTGTAGGGAAACGTAGACTGCTAGGTTGGGGTTAATGTGACAACTAGAATCGGTGCCTGGAGACTGTAAGTGATATATCTGAGAATCTATCTGAGTGGCGCAGACCTATGCACATTTTAATGTTAATATCGGATTTTATTATCATGTTATCTGTTCTAGTTATCTTCCCACGTCTGTTTTCCACTTTAACTACTCTCTTCCTCAGTTATCATCTACCGTTTATCTTGATATCATTTGTTGATGTCAAGCGTGGCAACATGATCTCTTAAGCAGTAATGCCAGGTCCAATGCTGGTGCTAACTGACTAAAAGAAGAGTATTGCCGAAATATGGTTTCTATGATATTTATTCAACCAGAAATTTAAAATCATGCTTTAATTTTTCTCTCTACACTCATACCCCTCCTTATCTGTTTTCGCATCTTTCGGTTTCTTTACGAATAATCTACGCTCGATATTGAAGATCGAAAGATGGCCAGAATAATAAGAATAAGCAACGAGGAACTCTGGCTGGCCCCACAACGAACCAAACCAACAAATATGTAGAAGAAAGTGGAGATGGATTGGATTGGACATACACTGAGAAGACCATTTGGAGACATCACACGTCAGGCGAGGTCAGGCGGTCAAGTCGAACCCAAACAGGAAACAACAAGTTGGGCGTCTGAGCCAAGGATGACATGAAGGAGGAGATCGTGTGAGGAAGAAATAAAA